ATGTTGGTCAGGCTGGTCTTGAACTCCCGACCTCAGGTGATCAGCCCGTCTCGGCCTCCTAAAGTGCTGGGATTACAGGTGTGAGCCACTGCACCCAGCCGAGCTGAGGAGTTTCAGACCAGCCTGGGCAACAGAGCGAGACCCCATCTCTACTAAAACAAATTAAAAAGAAAAAATCAGCTAGGCGTGGTGGTGCACATCTATAGTCCCAGTTTCTTGGGAGACTGAGGTAGGAGAATTGCTTAGACTAGGAGGTGGAGGCTGCAGTGACCCATGATTGCACCACTGCACTCCAGCCTGGGTGACAGCTTAAGTCCTAGGTACGAGTTTCCGACAATGAAAAACAATAATCTGATTTTCTAATATTTTCCCTAAAAAACACATGTCATTTACATAAAATAGGAAGCGGGGAGAGGTGGTGAGAGATGACCCCTGTTGAGGATTTCATTGGTGTCTGCCACAGGCCGCCATGGCATCAGACGAAGGCAAACTTTTTGTTGGAGGGCTGAGTTTTGACACCAATGAGCAGTCGCTGGAGCAGGTCTTCTCAAAATACGGACAGATCTCTGAAGGTGAGGCTGGTGCTGGGCCAGCGGCCCGGGTGGGGCTGGCTTGTGCTCCTCCTGACTGTAGGTACAGCTGGGTGCTGACTGCAGACCTCTCTCCCCTGCACAGTGGTGGTTGTGAAAGACAGGGAGACCCAGAGATCTCGGGGATTTGGGTTTGTCACCTTTGAGAACATTGACGACGCCAAGGATGCCATGATGGCCATGAACGGGAAGGTGAGGATCAGGGTGCTGAGCGGGAGCCCCGTCCTGAGGATGGGGCACCCACCCACTAACCTGTGCCACCCGCTGGTCTCCAGTCTGTAGATGGGCGACAGATCCGAGTAGACCAGGCAGGCAAGTCGTCAGACAACCGATCCCGTGGGTACCGTGGTGGCTCTACCGGGGGCCGGGGCTTCTTCCGTGGGGGCCGAGGACGGGGCCGTGGGTTCTCTAGAGGTGAGTGCCGTGAGTGGGCCCTTTGGGGATGCTGTGAGGCACTGCTGGTGGGAGCTGGTACTCACTTCTTCCTGTATGCAGGAGGAGGGGACCGAGGCTATGGGGGGAACCGGTTCGAGTCCAGGAGTGGGGGCTACGGTGGCTCCAGAGACTACTATAGCAGGTGAGGGGTGAAGGCCAACCCGGGCACAGGGGTGATTGTGGGATGGCCAGCTTTAGTCCCAGGTCCCTGGGGGAGCTGAGATGAGGCTGGCTGGGCAAGGAGCAGAGGCGGGAGGGGGCCCAGGCCAAGAGGAGAGGAAACTGCTGAAGACAGTGGCAGAAGCGGGAAGGCCAGGGGGGCATGGCTGCTGCAGGTTTTGGACGATTTCTGAGACTCTACCCTGCTGGGGTCCTTGCGTCCCCAGAAGGGACAGCTGGCATGGGGGCTGACGGCTCAGCCTGCTGTGGCAGAGCAAAAGTAGACTGGTATCCTCCGGTACTCACGTCTGTCTATCCTGCAGCCGGAGTCAGAGTGGTGGCTACAGTGACCGGAGCTCGGGCGGGTCCTATAGAGACAGTTACGACAGTTACGGTAAGTCACGCTCCGAGGGTGCCACGCTGCTGTGGCCTGCGGTGGGAGCTCGGTTCACCTTGGCACCTTCTCCAAGCACTTTAGGCTGGACACTCAGATCTTGTCACTGCGCTTGCCTATGAGAGGCGCGTCTGTCCTCTCAGAGCCATTTCTATCACAGGACACAAAAGCCAAATGAGACTGACCAAAAAGGCAAGGGAGAGCGAGGGCCCGCTGGGCAGTCAGCATAGGTGCATGTGTGGCTGCAGGCCAGCCTCCCTCGGCTGTGGGGGGTGGTTGCTCCCCGGTCGCAGGCCGCGCCCTGGTCTGGCCTCTGGGGTGAAGCTGCCTCTCGTTGCTTCGGTGCCTTTACACTGTGCCTGCTTCTTGTCCTCAGCTACACACAACGAGTAAAAACCCTTCCTGCTCAAGATCGTCCTTCCAATGGCTGTGTGTTTAAAGATTGTGGGAGCTTCGCTGAACGTTAATACGTGTAGTAAACGCACCTCCTTGTATTCCCACTTTCGTAGTCATTTCGGTTCTGATCTTGTCAAACCCAGCCTGACCGCTTCTGACGCCAGGATGGCCTCGTTACTAGACGTTTCTTTTTAAGGAAGTGCTGTTTTTAAGGGTTTTCAAAACATTTTGAAAAGCACTTCAGATTTACTTTTTTGACCACGAGCCATGAGTTTTCAAAAAAATCGGGGGTTGTGTGGGTTTTTGGTTTTTGTTTTAGTTTTTGGTTGTGTTGCTTTTTTTTCTTTTGGTGGGGTTGGCCCCATGAAGTGGGTGCCCCACTCACTCCTCTGAGATCGAACGGACTGTGAATCCGCTCTTTGTTGGAAGCTGAGCAAGCTGTGGCTTTTTCCAACTCCATGTGACGTTTCTGAGTGTAGTGTGGTAGGACCCCGGCGGGTGTGGCAGCAACTGCCCTGGAGCCCTGGCCCCTGCGCCCATCTGTGCTGTGCGCCCCACAGTAGACGTGCAGACGTCCCTGAGAGGTTCTTGAAGATGTTTATTTATATTGTCCTTTTTTACTGGAAGACGTACGCATACTCCATCGATGTTGTATTTGCAGTGGCTGAGGAATTCTTGTATGCAGTTTTCTTTGGCTTTACGAAGCCGATTAAAAGACCGTGTGAAATGAACCTTGCTCTGACAATTCCCTTGCATTGCACCACACACTCCCTGCTGCAGGCTCCTGCAGCCAGACCTGAGCAGAGAGAAGGCGGAGAAGCAGCAGGTCTGCAAGCCTTCCCTGGGGCCTGCAGAGAGAGCTAGAAAGGGAGGCCCAGCAGATTGGCGCTGGTCAGGGTAGGGGAGCCAGGCGGGGGACGGGAGCGGGCAGCTCAGGCCTCAGGGCAGCCCCGGGAGGCTTCTGGCAGTGGTGGCCAGAGGGCTGGACTGTGCGGGCAGCTTAGCAGGGACAGTGGACGTGCACCCGACGCTGACCTGGACTGCCTCAGTCTAGAAGCAGGCCAGAGAGCGGAGGCACGTGGCATCCCAGGGCGACCTCAGACGGCCAGCCGGTTAGCTAGTTCTGCTGTTGCTTCACGAGTTCTGAGCGTTCTCTGCTAGCCTATGGAAGCTGCAGCCCTCGGAGGACAGAAGTGTTGTGCGCCCAACAGAACCCTCTGAGACGCAAGCTGCTCCCTTGGCTAGCTCATATGTGGAAATAGCCCTGTAATTCGAGGTAACTCCTTCCGCTCGTGCCCACATCCCTCTTGTCGAGAGCTCATTGAAAGTCATGTGCCCGGGGAATGTTCCTGTGACTGTTTTTTGTTTTTCCTTTTTTTTCAACTTTTTTTTTCTTCTTCAATTAAGCTGGAACTAAAGTCAGGCCTGGCCATTACGCTCCCCACGTGCAGCCAGGTGCAGGCTGGGCCCAGTCATGCCTGGCTCTTAGATGAGGTCCCTTAAGCAGGATTGGAGACCAGTGAATGCCCCCGCCTTTTGGATTTTTTGCTCATCAATTGACTGTCTTTTCCAGACCTCTTAAGTCACACTCTTAACTAGCTTTCTCTGATGTATGTTGCCGCCATTAGTTTTTTTTCTAGAGCCCACATTGACCCATGTAGCTCCATCCCATGCGGGTAGCTGGCTCTGGCTGCGCCCCCAAGGCGCAGACCCGCCCTGGGCACGCTGGCCTGTGACGGAGCCTGAGGTCACAGCCCCGTGACTAGCCTGAGACCTTCCTAGGGGCTGTGGCCGTTTCCGGGGAGGCCGGGAGGGGCAGCTGTGAGCCCCGTGGAGGACGCTGGGAGTAACGCTGCTTTGCTTTGGCAGGTTGAAGGGGCCCGGCCAGGACTCGGGGAAGGGTGGCCTGAGAGCAGCGATGACCTCTGGGGTCAGTGTCCCAGGAGGGACTTCACCTGCAACAAGAACTGGAGGCAGCCGCTTGCCCCGGAGGCTTGTCCCCTGTAAGTGCTTTCGGGAAGAGTGGCATGTGGCGCTGAGCCCTGTCCCGGGCGGAACCTGGGCATTCCACTGAGTCCTGCTTTCCCGCACCTGTGGCCTCGCGGCGGGCGCCTTTCGGTGTGTGTGGGGTGCAGGGCAGCGCCTCCCGGAGCGCCGGGTCCGCGCCTGGAGCCCGCGCCTCCCTCCCTCCCTCCTCCCTCCAGGAGGCGCTTCGCGAGCGAGGTGCGGGCTCAGGGCCTCAAGTCTCTCCTGGAGGACGGGCTGCGGTGCGCTGGCGGCTTGCGGGGCGCCCAGTCCTTGCCCACAACGATGTGGAGCCCTGTGAAAGTCGGATTCGAATAAAGGGCCACGTGTGCACCCAGAAAACCGAGTCTGTGGTTTGGGGGGGCTGTCGGCAGAGCGGGGCCACCGGGAGAAAAGCCTGCGGACCCCGTTCAGCGCACTAGCAGCACTCAACGGGGAAGACCGCAAGGGTCACTGGCGCGCAGTCACCGCAGGGCTCGCCACTGAGGGGGTTCGCAGCGCAGAGACGTCGGTCCCGCGGGATCTTTGGCGCACTCGGCTGCGGGGGCGTGGGGGCCGCGCAGGCGCTGTCAGACCCCGTCTTGGGCCGAGCCCCCGGTTCCCTGCAGCAGGCTGGGGACGGGGCGCCTCCTTCCTGGGCCCCGGATACAGCCGAGGCGTCTTCACTGTCCGTGAGGCGGGGGCAGGAGCGGCGGGGGCCGCCCCGAGGCGGGTGGGAATGAGCGGCCCGAGGTCCTGAGGTCGGCGTCCACCCCGTTCCCCCGCTACCAGCCCGACTTCCTCGGAAGCCACGCGCCCGCACGCCGGGCTGGTAATCCTGGACTCTGCCTGCGGCGCCTTGCCAGGGCTCCCACGGGCGGGGCTCCCACGGGCGGGGCTCCCACGGGCGGGCTCCGGGCCTCCGCACTGGCTCCCGGAGCCGGACAACGAAACAGGCTCAGCGGCGGGCGCGCGGGGCACTGTGGGTAGCGCGAGGGCTCACCAGGCGGAGGAGGGGCCGGGCGTCAAGCTCCGCCCCCGTGCCCCATTGGCCAGCATCATCACCGCGCGTCTGACTGACAGCCGTGCATAGGGGCGGGGCGCCGCCACCGCTTCCGCCGGGCCATGGGGCCGCGCGTGCTGCCGCCGCCGCCGCTACTGCTGCTCCCGCTGGCGCTGCTGCTGGCGGCGCTGTCGTGCGGTGCCAAAGAGGCCTGGCCGTCGCGCCCCGCGCAGGTCACGTTGTCGCCGCCGCTAGTCGTGACGAACGGGAGCCAGCCGGGCGCTCCGCATAACAGCACGCACGCGGGTCCGCCGGTGTCGCCGGGCTCGGCGGTGAAGCGCTCTTTCTACGTGATCCTGGGCTTTTGCGGCCTAGCCGTGCTCTACTTCCTCATCCGGGCGTTCAGGTGCGTCAGGCGCACACGGGCACCGTCTCCCAGCCGTGGCCAATTAGCGCGCGCCTCGTGCGTCACGTGCCGGGCCGCGGGGTTTTCCCCCCTCCCTGCCTCCCTCCCGGTCGGAGTGGGCGTGGGCGGAGCTGTGCGGGGATCGTCACGTGGTGTAGGCGGGGCAGGGCCACGTGACTCGCCCGCTCTCCGGCCTGCGCCCGGGCGTCGGGGTGCGCAGCGTCGCCGCCTCTTAACTCGGGGGTGACGCTGACCGTTTCCCATATGGAGCCACGGAAGCCGGAGCGTGCCGGGCAGGGGTCAGGCCCTGGCGGAGCGAGGGATCCTTCTTGGCTCCTTGTCGCCGGATGCCGGTCCTCGCTCTCATCTTCCCGTTTGCAGCCGCGACCCTTCCGTGGGGTCCCGATTCTTTTCCTTTGTGCCTCTACCCGCTGAAGCTGGGCCTTCGCCAGCGTCGGCCACGTGCCCGCCTTGGGTGCTCCCACAGCCCGGGAGGTGCGGCTGCGTCCCCAGACCCTCGCGGGGTCCAGCTGTAGGCAGCCTCTGGACAGGAGGAGCTTCTGCCTGGTCAGACCACCCCGGCTTCCCTGGCCTGTGGGCCCAGTTTTCTCTGGGCTTCTGACTACCCAGTGTGGCTGCTGCTTCCGGGTGGGAGCGACACAGCGCGGACCTTATCCCTCCCCATCACCACCTTGGCAAAATCAAGCTGCTTATCATTTGTTATGTTTTTTTGCAGCAATGCGGTTTCGCCATGTTGCCCTCGCTGGTCTGAATTCCTGGGCTTAAGTGATCCTTCTTTTTCGGCCTCCCAAAGTGCTGGCATTATAGATGTGAGCCACTGTGCCTGGCTATGCTGCTTTTTAGGGACTCTGTGCAGAGCCTCCTCGGTGCTCCACACCCCGTCCTGTGGAAGCACCTGCTGGGCGCTCTCCCCTGCCTGTGCCCTGCACCGTCCCTGCCTCCCTGGCTGCTGGGGCCACCAGTGGCTTGGCCCTGAGACCGCCTTCCATTCTGTTGTCTTTGGCGAAACCTCACCCCTGTGTGAGCCTCAGTCTTTTCATCGGTGCAACAGGAGTGACCAGCGTGCCTCTTCTGGGATCCTGGCACAGGGGAGATGGGAGGGCCTGCTAGGGCACGTGTTTTCTGACTGTCACCGCCTTGGGAGAGAGTGGTAATCACTTGGCGATTAGGACGTGAAAGAAACAGGCACAGCAAAACCAGGGAGGTCTGCAGCAGGGCTGGGGGATCCGGTAGCGGATGGCAATGAGGGTCCTGAGGGAAGGAGGAGGCAGGGTTGGCAGGGAGGGACCATTGACAATGCCTGGACCTACTTCCAGGCTGAAGAAGCCTCAGCGGAGGCGATATGGACTCCTGGCCAACACCGAGGACCCCACCGAGATGGCCTCGCTGGACAGCGATGAGGAGACGGTCTTTGAGTCGAGGAATCTGAGATGGTGTGCACCCTTCCCCAGCTCTGGGGCCTCGGTGGGCAGGCTGGGCTGGAGACTCAGCAGGATCTGGTGACTTGGGCAAGCGATGGAGCGGTCCCTGCAATCACAGCTGACAGCAGTGATCAGGGCATGGTCTCCCTGGGCAGGGCTCATCCCTTCTCCCAGCCTCTATTTACAATTTTTTTTTTTTTGTAACTTAAATTTTTTATTTATTTATTTTGGAGGCGGAGTGGCACAATCCCAGTTCACTGTGACCTCTGCCTGTGGGGTTCAGGCATTTCTCCTGCCACAGCCTCCCAAGTAGCTGGGATTGCAGGCACCCGCCACCACCACGACCAGCTAACTCTTTGTATTTGGTAGAGATGGATTTCACCATGTTGGCCAGGCTGGTCTCCAACTCTGTATCTCAGGTGATCCACCTGCCTGGGCCTCCCAAAGAACTGGGATTACAGGCGTGAGCCACCGCACCTGACCTAAGTTTTTGTTTTGTTTTGAGACGGAGTTTTGTTCTTGTTGCCCAGGCTGGAGGGCAATGGCATGATCTCTGCTCACTGCAATCTCCGCCTCCTAGGTTCAAGCAATTCTCCCATCTCAGCCTTCTGAGTAGCTCGGACTACAGGTGCCCACCACTATGCCCGGCTAGTTTTTGTAGTTTTAGTAGAGACAGGGTTTCTCTATGTTGGCCAGCCTGGTCTCGAACTCCTGACCTCAGGTGATCTTCCCGCTTTGGCCTCCCAGAGTGCTGGGATTACAAGCGTGAGCCACCGCGTTCAGCCTTCTTGCATCTTTAAGACAGGAAAGCGGCCGCAGGGCTTAGGGTAGTGGGTGCTCGATCTGGGTCCGTCTCTGAGAGACGAGGTCTGAGTCAGGTGCAGAATTGACCATAGGATGCTTCTGAGCGGGCAGCATCAGGGAGGGCCTCTGCCTGGTGTGTAATGGGGCTGGCTCCTGGAACAGTATCTCAGGCCGAGGGAACAGCAGGGACAGAGGTGGAGGCTGGGCAGGTGTTGGCGGGCTGGGGTAGGCCTGGGTGTACAGGCAGGTGTTGGGTTAGCGGGGTTCTGGGCAGGGATTGATGGCTATGTTGTGCTGCAGTGTGGCTGCTGGGGGGACGTTGGCCTGTTGAGGGGTGGCAGGCATGGAGGCTGGGAGACCAGGGGACAGGGCGGCCTCTGGGGACAGGGCGGCCTCTGGGGACAGCGCTGACTTTTCGAGCCCCCAGGGAGGGTGGCGTTGGGATCCCTCCCCAAGGTCTTACTCCATTCTGGGAGCCCCTCCCAGGTTTTTTCTACCTCCTGGCTGGGGGCCTCTTCCCCCAGGGTGGGCAGTTGAGCAGGGCCCAGGAGGCCAGGGGCGGAAGGGTGGGCCCTGGTGGACTGAGGGGGCCTGGACAGGTTGCCTGCTCCTACCTGACCTGGGTGAGCCTCTGCCCGGCAGGGTGGGCCCTTCACTCCTCACCTCTCACCCTTGACCCCCTGCTTCCAGATGCTGAGCCAGGGAGGCGGCCTTTCCAGCGGCCATGAGGGAAGGACAGGAGATGGGACCCACCCCAGTGCCCAGCAACCCCCCACTCCACCGCTCATTCCCCTGCTGGCCCTGGGGCTGGCCTCACCCAGTGCCAGCCCGAGAGCTCTTTTTGGAACCTGTGCAGCCTGCCTGCCTACTGCCACCTGCACCTACCGCCAGACCACACAGCCTCGCCTCCTGGATGCTGCCCCAGCCTGGCCGAGGGTCCCAGGTGAAGACCGGACGGGCCCCGACAGCCGCTGCCCAGGACTCTGAGGCCCCCTTGCCTGACTGTGACTTGTGTGTCTCCCCTGTCCCCGTGGGGGCATGGCAGCCCAGAACCGAGGCTGGGTGGGCAGGTGACCCAAGGGACCTTTCTGGGAGCGCCTTCCCGCTGGGCTGGGAACAATAAATGCAGCCATGTCTCGGCAGCTGGTGCTGACCCCGTGCCACCTCCAGGCCCGTGCATACTGGTGCGGCCAGTGCGGGGTGGGTGGTGGAGCAGGGCTCAAGCCAGCCTTGGTCTGTCTGCAACCAAGCTTGGGTTCTCCAGCCTTGCCCCCAAGTGAGGAACCCATCTCCAGCTGCCTGGGATCAGGCGCTGCCTGTGAGCACCTCTGTTCCTAGAGGAAACTCCTGTTCCATCTGTCAGAGCCCCTGCTGCAGGCCCCCTTCTCTGTGCCATCTTCAGCCTGGGTCTCATGGGCCCTTCCCTGGAGGATCCCCACATCACCTCACGGATACCTCTGGCCATGATTCCGGGGAGCCCCAGAGCTGTGCTGTAGGAGGCTGGAGTTCCCCGCGGCCTGGGCCCCCATGCCGGATACTCCTCCCCCATCAGTCTGCTGTAGAACGTGGAGCCTGAGACCCCATCCCCGGCAAGGCGCTTAATCAGCTTCCCTGGGGCCTTGTTCTTCCTGCAGGGGTCTGTGTCTGTGCGGAGTCCAGCTCTGGCCTGTCCCCCTGTCCCCCACGAGTTTAGCCTTGGAGAGCCCATGGTAGGTGGGTACCCACAGCCTGAGGTCTCCCCCAGGCAACCTAGCTGGAGCCGCCACCAGGTGGCAGCCTTGGGCCGCCCAGTCCCCTCGCTGTCTCCCTGGTCCTAACCCTTCATGTGGGAAAGCCGGTCCGGCACAGCCCATTTGTCCCCCCACTTCCTGAGCCCACCGTGTCCCCACGTCCACCAGGGGATGGGCAGTCCCTCAGGTTTGTGCCGACCCTGCCTGTGCCACTGCCAGGGTTGGGAGGGGCTGTCGCCCCCTCAGACCAGGGTCCCCTGTCCCGGTACCATCTGCTCCCTTGGGCATCTCCGTCTGACCAAACCCTGCCAGGACTGTGCTCACGTTTCACCTTCCCCCTCCAGTACCCCGGGTCCTCTGCTCTGCTGTCAGCCGCCGCCTCCAGGAAGTCCTCTCTGATTGCCCACCCCACCCTGTTCTTTAGGGGAATCCTACAGGGAGGGTTGGGGAAGTAACCCTCAAAGTGAGGCCACAGACCGAGAGAGGCCCCTGAGACTGCAGCGGGGGAGGGCAGCTTGGCTTGCCCTGACTGTGTGGGACTGGGGACAAGTAGGTGACACCTGTGCCCCGGGGTCTGCTGTTCCCCATCCGTCTGGCCCTCGCGTCTGTCTCCAAACTCTCCTGTTCGCATCTCTCCATCTGCCTCCTTCACTTTGTGTCCGTCTCTATCTCCGTGTCTGACCCTCTGGGACATGATTTCAACAGGCACAGAGACACCGGCCCCGGCCCCCACCCTGTGATCTGCGCCCCCCGTCCCACAGCTCTGAGCGTTTTCACCAGCTTCAAAAGGCACATTAATTACTCTAATGAGGTCAGGAGAGACCCGCGCTCTGCCATCCGGAGTCAGAACATGCCGCAGCCCCCAGCCCAGCCGCCGCCGCCCCCTCGGGCAGAGAGAGGAGCTCTGCTGCCTCCATCCCCTTTGCCTGTCAGGACCCGTCAGCCGCGCTGTGCCCCGTGTTGGTGCAAGTAATTGGCAGCCCCCCAAGGTTAATGCACTGTCAGTCGGGGGTTCTCCCAGGCTAAGAGCCGGAGAGGGGCCTGTCAGCGAGAGATGAAAGGCCCCAGGTCCTGGCCGGTGCTTGGCCTGTGTGTGTGCGCACGTGTGTGCCCGTGGGAGTGCGTGTGTGTGCGGGTGCCTGGGAGTTCGGGGGGTGGGCAGTGGCATCCTCCACCTCCCCCATGCAGACACAGGCACCAACAAAACACAACTTTGTAGATACACGATAAGCAACACAGACAGTCCCACGGATGGGACATCTGCAGCCCCACGGGACACGCGATCACACACATGGGTGTGACCTGCTGAGATCCTAACCCCATGCCAGGGGGTGTCTCGGACCCACGCCCCCCACCCTTGCCCCTCGGTGTGCCCACTGGATAAGCAGCATATCAGACCCCTGCCTCTGGGGGGGTCTCTGCCTCAGCAGCGGGTCCGGCCCAGGCTGGAGTCCAGTGGACTCACTGCACGGCTTCTCTGCCTGTGAAATAGGGATGGGTGGGCGCTGGGGACGTGGCCTCGAGGGCTGGATGTGTCAGGTTCCTTGTGGCTCTGGCTTGTTCCCGCAGCTTGGGGCCCGACGTTCGTCCTGGGGAGACAAAGACGGGGCTCCTCTGCCGTCCTGGTGCGAGGGTGTCCCAGGGATGCGGCCCCGTGCGCCAAATCAGTCACTTGGGGGTTGGCAGGCAACAGGGTGCTGAGACCCCCGTGCCCTCGATTCCCCACCTCCAGGGATCTCACCCCCAGGTGCCCATCTCCTCTGTAGGGGGCCTGAGCCACCACTGCCCCCACATTGAGGCCACTGACCTCCCCATCCCAGGCCAGCCAGACCCCGAGAAGCACCAGGTGCTTTGCTGTGGGACACAAAGCCACACGTGGCTGTTCACGTTTCTTCATTAAGTTACATAAAACTGAAGGTCCGAGGTCTCAGTCACCTTGGGGAGAGGTCTGGGGCCTCAGTCCCCGTGGGGAGAGGTCCTCAGTCACCGTGGGGAGAAGTCTGGGGGCTCAGTCACCGTGGGGAGAGGTCTGGGGCCTCAGTCCCCGTGGGGAGAGGTCCTCAGTCACTGTGGGGAGAAGTCTGGGGGCTCAGTCACCGTGGGGAGAGGTCTGGGGCCTCAGTCCCCGTGGGGAGCCAGAGGCTCCTGCTGCGGACAGCGAGTGGTGGGGGCAGGGATATTGCCTTTGTGTGGGAAGTTCAGGATGCTGGTGGTGTCTGGACACTGGAGAATGGGTCTGTGTTCAGGCCCTGGACCTGAGGGTGGGATGAGGGAGAGAGGAAGGAGGAGGAAGGGAAGGGGAGGAGGGAGGAGAGAGAGTGGGAAGGAGAAGGATGTGAATGGAGAGGAGGGATGGGAGGAGGGAAGCGGGAAGGAGGGAAGGGGAGGAGGAAGAGGAGGAGAGAGAGGAGGGTGCAGAGAATGGGGGAAGGAGGGAGTGAGGAGGGAGAGGGTTTTGAGAAGAGAAGCCGGCGCGGTGGCTCAAGCCTGTAATCCCAGCACTGGTTGGGAGGCCGAGACGGCGGATCACGAGGGTCACGGAGATCGAGACTGGGGGGGGTGCATTCCTGGGCTGGACATGGTGAAACCGTCTCTACTTTTAAAAATACAAAAAACTAGCCGCGAGGTGGCGGGCGCTGTAGTCCCAGCTTTACTCGGGAGGCTGAGGCAGGAGGAATGGCGTGAACCCGGGAGGCGAGCAGTTGCGTGAGCTGAGACCGGGCCGCACTGTACTCCAGCCTGGTTGCGGCGAGCGAGACTCCGTCTCAAAAAAAAAAAAAAAAAAAAAAAAAAAAAAAGCAAGAGGAGAAGTGTGAAAGAGAGAAGGAGAGAGTGAGGGAGGAGTTTAAGGGGGAATGAGTGAAAGAGAGAGGTGAGTGTATGAAAGGGGGAAGGAATTGGTGGTAAATTGAAGAGAGGGTGGGAAAGAGGAGGGAAAGAGGGTAGTATGAAGGGGGAAGGAATTGAGGAGGGAGGGGAGGAGGGGAAAGAGGAGGGAGAGGGTTAGTATGGAAGGGGAAGGAATTGAAGGAGAGAGGTGGGAAAGGGAGAGGCGAGGCGAGTGGTTAGTATGAAGGAGGAAGGAAATTTAGAGGGACGGAGGCGAGTGGGAAGGGGGAGGAGGGAGAGGTAGGTATGAAGGAAGAATTGAGGAGGGAGGAGGAGGGTGGGAAAGGAGGAGGAGAGTAGGAGGGGGTAGTATGAAGGGGGAAGGAATTTGAGGGAGGGAGGAGGGTGTGAGAAAGGGAGGATGAGAGCGTGAGTTATGAAGGGAAGAAGGAGAGAGAGGAAGAAGAGGAAAAGTGTGAGGAAGAGGGAGAAGGGTGTAGACAGGGAGAAGAAGAGGGGGAAGGTATGAAGAAGGAGGGAGGGGAAGGTAGAAGAGGAAGAGAGGGGCAATATGAAGGGAAGGAGGGAGGGGAAAGAATGTGGAAGGAAGTAAGGGAGAGGAAGAGGAGAGTGGAAAGGGTGGTGGAAACTGGGGAGAGGGGTGAGCCTGGCGGAAATGTAGGGCTGTGTGCCTGTTCCTTGCCACCACCGGCTGCAAGGTGGGTTGCGAGGAATCTTGGTCATGGCTGGACCTGGGGTGGATTTTTCATGTTATCCTCTGGGAGAAATGGGATAATCGTTTTCTTTCTTTTTTTTTTTTTTTTTTTTTTTTTTTTTGAGACAGAGTCTTCGCTCTGTCGCCCAGGTGGAGTGCAGGTGGCCAGGATCTGCAGCTCAGCTGCAAGCTCCGCCTCGCCCGGGTTCCGCATTCTCCTGCCTCAGCCTCCCGAGTAGCTGGGACTACCAGGCGGCCGGGCCACCACGGCGGCCGCTAATTTTTTGTATGTTTTTGTTAGTAGGAGACGGGGTTTCACCGTGTTAGCCAGGATGGTCTCGGATCTCCTGACCTCGTTGGATCCGCTCCGTCTCGGCCTCCCAAAGTGCTGGATTACACGCTTGAGCCACTTTTATGTTTTATATAGAGACGGGGTTTCACCCATGTTAGTCAGGATGGTCTCGATCTCCTGACCTCATGCATTTCCGCACCGCTCTCAGGCCTCCCAATGCTGGATTACAGCTTGAGCCCACCGCGCACTCGGCCACGTTGTTTATTTTCAAGGACAGTGGACCCAGCCCCACGAGAAACCGCCCTGACCCCTGGGGGGCAAGTGCAGACCCAGCTCCGTGCTTCGCAGGTGGGACGATGGACAGGGGTCAGGCTCCCGCCCAGAGTGGAGCCCACGACCTGCCCAGCCCCCGGTGCCCCGTGACCCCTGCCGCCTGATCCTTGCCTGGCTGAGATGGGGCTTCTGAAGGCTGCTGGCACCAGGGCAGGCTGCGGACTGGGTCCAATTTATTCTGTAATGAGAAATTCTCCCCGCGTATTTTTAGCTTCCTCCTGGCGTCGCGGCCTTTGAAGGCTGAGGGGCTTCGG